TACAAGAAATGTTTTGGACCGGACCACCCTAATACCTTGGTGGCTGCCAACAACCTAGCTGCGGTGCTGCAGGTGCAAGGGAGGTACGAAGAATCCGAAGTGATGAATCGCCGCGCATTGGAGGGGTACGAGAAATGTTTTGGATTGGGCCACCCTAATACTTCGATGGTTCTCAACAGCCTGTCTCTGATTCTGCGGCAGCAGGGGAGGTACGAAGAATCGGAGGCGACGAACCGCCGCGCATTGGAGGGATACGAGAAATGTTTTGGATTGGACCATCCTGACACATTGATGGCCGTCGAAAACTTGTCTATACTTTTGCTAAAGCAGAGAAAGTTCATCGAATCAGCAAAACTGTTCCGCCACGCCCTAGAAAGCAGAGAGAAAACCTTGGGCGCGGACCATCCTAGTGTACTGTCTACTATTGACAACCTAGCTATAGCACTTGAAGCTCAGGGAAAGTTTGCCGAAACCGAAGAACTGCTTCAACGTGCCCTGATAACTCGCGAAAGTGCACTCGGCTCAGAGCACCCGAATGTCTGCGAAACCCTCGAGAGTCTGGCTTGCCTACATGAAAAACAGGACCGGTATTCCCAGGCTGAAGAAGCTTATGAACGGGCCTACCAGGGATTCTCTAAAACCTTAGGTGAACACCACCTCACTACCTTGGAATGCACTAGGAAATTGAAGTTACTACGGGACCGCCAACCCCATTCGGAGGGGATCGGTCGGGCGGAGGAGGAACTGACTGCTAGTGTCATAAATCACCGGCGATCACCCAGCGACCCCGCGTTCTCGTGGCTAGAGACACTTTTGTGGTACCCCAGAAACTTGTGGAAATGGTGGAGTTCGTGATAGGGATTCTAGGATGGCGGTAGTAGCTAGACAGACCTTCATAGGAACAGTATGAAGCGAGGCTTCCAGGAGAATCCGCAACTGGTGGGATTTCTTAGAGCGGGTTGAAGGGGTTTGGGCATGTTAGGTCAGGTCTGGGTATGTTTGGGAAAGTTTGGTAACTGTTTGGAATTCGATCTCTCATTGAAGGAGAAATTGTGTCTATAGGTGTGGTGGTTTTCTGGGCTTATTGTTATGCAAATGTGTAGGAGATAGGGGTGCAATCTGAGCAGCGTGGAGGTTGGGCGGTTGTGGAATCAAGTTTATATAGATGTGGAAATTCTTAGATTGGCCCGGCCCACCTAAACTCCAGGGGTTGAATTTACATTTTATGGCCCGAACTTCCTTCCCCTAATCACTTCCGTGCTCCACACAACATTCCACTTTATTTCCGCCCTCGCCCTCGTGTCCCCGCCGGCTCTCGGCTCCTGCACGTTAACCCCCCGATGAGTGCACAATTCCTACTTCGGCCACCTCACACCCCCAGAAAATACGGAAAACGGTTCTGATACATATCTGCACCTCCCACCCGACCCTTTATCACTCGTGACTAATCTTGCTAGCATTTCCATTTCGCCATTTCGTCCGGACGGCTAACAGAGTTCATGCTGTCAATGGAGTGCGAGTGATTGTGCGTAGTTCCCAACTTTTATAGACCACTTGTTACCTGCCTTTCTTTAAAGATTAGCTCGCTAACGAGTGCGTGTTCTTGCTCACCGCCCCGGATCGTATGATACTTATGAATGTTGGATGTGGGGATCTTTCCTTGTCTCCCACTTGGCCCTGAACCGGCTCCGGTTTGGGAGAAATACCTTCCTCTCTTTTTCTTATATTCGCTAGCCTAGTCTCATCTCCTTGAAGTTACCATATAGGAGCGGTTGCCGGGGGGAGTCTTGCGGTCTTGTCGGAATTTCGTCGCGCGTGCCGTAGAAAATATGTGGGTAGTAAGTGGTGGCGTTGCAAGGGGAAGCTCGGGCCCGCTGTTGGGGGGAGTGTGTCCAATAGCGAGGGGCGGAGGAGGGGGAGCAGGGAGAGAGGAATTACAGTGGTGTCCGGGGATAAAAGTAGACACATGAAAGAACTATAAGATGGGGGAAGAGACGGGTAAAGATGGTCTCCTTGATTCGTTCTAGGACTCTCTCTCAGACCCTTCTAGCTACCCCTTATTATAGAAAGCCCTTCTACCCTTAGCTCCAGGGAACACCGATCCTCCACGTATTCCATACATTTAGTCATCGCTCCCCTATGTTGACGGAATAGTCAGGTCTCGTCCCGTCGGATCGCGTCGCACGCCGGAATAACCTATATCTACAGTAGCATCACAGAACACAGCCCACTCGCTAAAGCAGACATCACCATCTGGAACCTTTCTGTGAAACTCTTTTCTAAGTCTTATAGCTGTCTTGCTGTTCGGGGCGGAGTCTAGGAATAGTTTGATTGGGTTGGGTTTTATTCGGTAGGGCACTTCCGCGATATGCTAGCAAGCCCATTAATCCGGGGGTGAGCGGTCGGTAGTGACTAACAGCGGGGTTCAGACCCCATAATATGATACACTAGAGCAGAACATATCTTTATTTTAAAGAATGATAATATTAATATGATATAATAAATTTACCGGTAGCTTGCTAAAGGGGTAATCAGGCCCTATATCTCGTGCTCATGCATTAATTATTGACCCTTGATATGATCCCTAACTCAGTCCCAAGGGCTCATGTTCGTGGCATCTGGGGGCTTGGATTTATATCATACCCGAGCTGCTGAAATCGAGCCCTCCGGGTTTCTCGGGGGGAAGGAGGGTTCATGGCCAATCACTCGCCAGTGATAGAACCTTGCATAACCCTCAATATATACTTACCTTAGGTGCGAATTTCAGTAGAGTTAAGCTTAGGAGAAAATCGCTGGATCTACCATAATTCTATTGCACTACTCGGATTTAATCCATGTTCGAATGAATTGTATCGATTGCTCTTCTCTGCGGTCTCGATATTGTATCATATTAAATTTCTATATATCTTTCTACTTTACGTCAGGAGGGAAAAGAATCCGGCAAAAGACTGCTACAGCGAAGGGAAACTGAAACGGGTATCATCGCATACCGGTATTTTTAGCTTTAGACGACTTGGTGCCCGGGCATACCAACTGCGAGTCTCGATCATTCGCATAGTGGCCGGGTGGCCCCCGGGCGGGAGGTAGCGATCTATTGAAACCGGGTGGTGCCTGATAAATAGAAATTAAGAGTAGCATTCTAAATCCCAATGTACGAGACATACAGTAATTAGTAAATAGAGTGAGAATCTCGAAACAGGCTCAAAGGAGCTATTTCAGAGATTAAGCTGAAAAGAGCAAACATTACGCTTGCTCTACCAATTTGGCCATCATCACGGCTGGCCCGGGAGCAGGGGATAGGGCCGCCGGTGACCACAGTTCTAAGGAGGCCCTAAAGAAGAGAGAGATAAAACTGGGGAGGGGGACGAGTTTGTAGAGAGAGTCTCGGAGATATTATACACATTTTGAACACTACCCGCCATGCCTGGAAGCGCTGGTCTGATTGTCTCTTGTAGGTTAGGTTAATGGAGTCGGCGTCGCAGCCAAGATTTACAGGTTGCCACTCGATAAATTTCCAAATGCTATATTGAGGTAGATTTGGGAGGAAAAATAAATCTAATCAACTTTTGCATCACAACCGGCATACATGATGGGCGAATTACATTCCCCTTCTTAACATGTTTGGCTGCCAAAAACAGAACTTTGGGCATGCTTAAGGCTGAACTCGTAGTTACATTCGATTTGCAGTTGAAAGATTACTGCACCGAGAATGTCAGGTATGGATTTCCAATCCCAGCATAGTGGGCAAGGTCTACCTGGAGTTCTCTATGGGTAGCTGACGTGTTATGTTCTAGTAAATTGCAATTCGCTGGTATCCCCTTTGATTACAGGCCCCAATGTTCCAGGGGTGCCTGTTCCCAATACAAGTAATTTTTATAGACAACTATCTCATATGCCTTAGGTAAGGCGCTAGCACACGTAGTAGACATCCCAGAAAACCAGAACCCCGGGGAAGTCATTCAAAGGGATCGATTGCTGCCGAGTGGCATTGAGATTATTTCTAGCGTTTCTTATCCTGCAGTCCTGCACCCCCTCCAACCCTAACCCCCACCAGCGGCGAAAACCAAACTTCTTGGCATTCGCTCGGGTTTTCTATATAAACCCACTGCTCCCACCTCCTTCTCCTCTCCTTTCCTCAGCTCTCTTTGCCTTTTGGTGAGTTCCCACAACCTTTCCCCCTGTCCCGTTCGAGCACTGCTAACCATTGAGCAGGCTTAGATCAAGTGTAGTATCTGTTCTTTTCAGTTTAATCTCTGAAACGGCTCTCCGGAGCCTGTTCTTTGGTTACTCCTATTTTTGTTTACCCCGGGGATCTTGCCTCTGGCATGCTATGCTTGATCCCCACTGTGTCGCTGGTATTGCAATGTCTCCGGCTGATGCGAAGAACTGTCTTTATCATTGTATCGATTTCTGGCGTTCGCGCGAGGGGTTGAGACAGTGATCAGTTATACTCCGGTTTGTTCTAAGGCCAAAGAAGTGATTTGTCTGGGCCGGATAATGTCAAAATGGCCTTTATTGGCATCTCAGCTCCGATGAGTTCCGTTGTGGGAGTTAACTTACCCACATGTGAGAGTAACATGGCCAAACCAATTATCATGGGTATCCTTGTACTTGCGCATGGAGGCAGCGTTGATCTGTTCCCCGGAACTGGGGGACCCGACCGCTTGGTAACGATATTACAAGTTCCCAGCAACAAGAACCTGAAAACAGAGGTCAAAAATTTGTATAGTAATTTTCCTATAGGCATCCGAGCGCCAACACTAAACCTAGACCCCAATTTTTAGGTTCTCCTTGTCAGTAACCTATAACCACGACACGACCTCATTCTTGTAAAAATAATCCGCATAATTTCCATCACCATCCCGGCTCTATCGATACTCTAATTTACTTAGAGCGAGGAGTTAGGCAGGCCCCTTTGCTACCGGTACCGGTATATGATGACTCAGCGATGCCAGAACGGAAGGCATGGCCGACCTCAGGTTCACACTCCAGCTCCATCTCTCACTTGGAATCCCATCAGTTGAGGTGCTTTTAAGAGCTCCCATCCCGAATTAGGGCAAGAAATTTTCCAAGTGGTTATATATACATGTAAAGATTATGGTCCAACTCCATATAGAGTCCCCCGACCCTTCCCCATCCTGTAGCGGCTTGGAGATCAAGGCACGCGGCCCGGTGGTGAGGTGTTGCCATGGCAACTATCTCGGTAATTTAGTAAACTACCACAATGATAATGACAACTTTTAAGCGATGGCGTCACTTCACAAGCTTTGCAGTACTCGTACAGTACCGGCAATTGGTGTTAGGCGGGCTTCAAATTATTGTAATCCCGGGGTATTACATAGATAAAGTGATTTCGAAACAGAAATACCGGTACCGGTATACAAGTAGGAAAAGGAGCACCCGCTCCTGGTGAACTATAAAAATTTGAAAAGCGCGGTTTCTTTCTCCTATTTTTTATTGGGAAACAGGCTAGATCACCAAGACTTCTGCTTAGTCACTTTCCACTTAGGCTGGATAGAATCCGCGGACAATGAGGTACTAGTACGGTAGTCTCTGGCAAGAAGCTCGACAACAGAGCGTCCGAGCTCGGCGGGCCCGTTAGAATATCGGGATTTATCAAGCGTTCACGGATATATACCCCTGCATGCGCATATGGCCTATAAACCTCATTCCTACCCCTTTAAAACCCCGCTTACGGA